CACCTACGATTAATTTGTATGAGGGAAGCAAATGTATATGCGATCTCGAATGATAATCGGGTCTTTCTGTGTAGGTTTACCTCATGATTTTAGTTTTTCAGTCATAAAATATGTGGCTCATTATATTTTCTTACAGGTTTCTGAAAGGTTGGATGAGGACCCTTCTCCTAATGTCCCTTTACAAAAGCTTGTACTTTAGTTCACAGAAGAGGTATGGTTGATGTCTTTTGAAGTGTTGTTGTTTTTGTTTTGTGGTATAGCAATGTATATTATTATAGATTATTCTTTTTTTCTTCCTTTTTGTAGACAATCTCTTGATGTGTAGCGACAGTTGCGTTTAAGTGACCAAAAATGGCTGTTGTGTTTATTTACGAGTATGTGACCTTAACTAGATATGAGCTCGTGAACTATGTATTAGTTTCGCTTATTGTCCTGTAAAACCATTCTTGTAGAGTTAAAGCATGAGAAACTGGCCGCTTGGCCTGAATTTTGTGATGTACAGCATGAGAAACCATTATTTACGAGTATGTGACCTTAACTAGATATGTCTTAGTGACAAATCTTCAAAAATCATTGACCTGCCACAAATACCTTCCGCACTTCACCAACCCTAACCCAATAAATTACTCTAATTTCTCTTTCATTCTTTTTTCCCCTTTCGGCTAAACTGTGCACATCGGAGAAAGAAAAATCTTCGCAGCCGAAAACCTAAATCTCTTCCCTATTTTTCACACCACACGGCAAGCACATTTTCTGACAGCGCTGAAAAGATCTATGTGACAGATCCGACGACAATCCAACGGCAAGAAGAAGGGCTGCGAGAACATGACCTCGCGTGAGTGATAGAATAATCAGGCTTTTGGCGGTCAATGATGGTGGCGCGACTAAGAGGATGTATACTATCGCAGTTCAGTGCATCATCAGACGTAGAATAGAAGACCGGTCAGGACACCAAAGTAAATTCGTCCTCTTTCTCCTTACATCTTTCTTTCTTTGCATAGAAATGTGGAATTTGCTTGCGGGTTTATGTTAAAGTTCCAAGCTTTATTAAATATTTGTTCAAAAAATGAGTTCTTGAATGAAAAATACTTGGTGGGCTAATGTAGTAATGTTCGCTCTGCCTTTGTCAGTGGTAAAAGGTATTTTTAAGGCTTGGGTTTTGGTGGAGTTTACATGGAAAGTGCCAGTTGGGTTGTGTCTGTTGCTTTCTTGAAATTTTACCCTTAACTTTTTTCCTCCATTAAATTTGTTTGTTTTATTCCTTGTTTTGTGTGATATTTGCAAGATTTTAAGGCACATGATTAGTGGTCCTTTCTCAATATTTGTTACAGTAGCTCGATTATCCCTTTCTATTCATCACATTTCACTGGTCCATGATGTTTATTTCTTGTTTATTCATTAATGTCATTGTTTGGTTACTAACGGTTTTTTCCTTGTTCTTTCTCAATTTATCTGACTTTTATTCTATTTTTGGATTATTGAATTGCATCTTTGAATATGAGTGTTCTTTCTGTTATGAGATGTACTTTCTTGAAGCATGAGTTTTCTCGAATTGTCATAGGGTTGTAAAAAACTTACAGTTCTCCTTTTGATTTTAGGGATTAGTGTGTTATAACTTAGTTTCATAACTTGGCAGATTTTACCCTAATGCACAACTTCTGGAAGGATTCCAATTACATGGCAAGGCGGAAAAATGCGATCCCAGTAACAAAAAGCCGCTCATGTTCTTAGCTTAATCACAAAAGAGTACAATGATTTACCATTCCTTTTTTTTTTGGGTTCTCTTTCTTTCTTCAGGTAATGGGTTTTGTGTTATTTCTGCAAATACCTTTTAGAGATGTGCAGTTTTTAAAATACAATGTACAACAAATTTTAGTAGAATATTCATCTAATAATGTCTTTCAGATGAAAGTTTAACTAAAAATAGAAGCTAAATAAAATGCCAAATAGTAAGTAGTCTCATGGTTAGCTTAATTACAAAAGAGCCCAATTATTTACCATTTCTTTTTTTTTGGTGTTATTTTTACAAAATGCCTTTTCGAGATGTGCGGTTTTTAAAATACAAAGTACAAACAAATGTTAGTAGAGTATTCATAAATTATAAGTCGCTTCAATATTTGTTTCTTTGTGCACACAGGTACATTCAGGGCTATTAGAAGAACCTCACATTCCTCACTATAAAGGTATATTTACAGACTTTCCATTAACAATGATATAATTTTACTAAAAATGGATGATGATGATGATGATGATGATGAATGATGATGATGATGATGATGATGATGATCCCAAACTATACATTGTGCACGGAGCTGGACACACGTTGCCAGAATACAAACCACATGAGGCTTTGCAGTTCTATTCGCGTTGGCTGAAGGGCCTTACGATTTGAAACAAAAGCTGTTTATTTATCTTCATATATATAGCCATGAGGCCTGTTAATATGCTTCTTTTCAATGGCTTTATTTTTACGTGTCTTACATTCAACTATGTGGTTCTAGGTATGAAACTTGAGCTCGATTTTGTTTGATCAGTTTCTCTCTCTCTCTCTCTCTCTATCTTCTCTCTCTTTTTTAATGTTATTTTATTTGCAGGATCTCCTTCAAAAAACCAATGCTACAGGTGCATCATGGAATATTATACTAGGCGATATCGGTGTGCATATATAGCAGGAGGTTGGTACATTCATCATTTGCCTATTCTCTATTTATAATATTAATTTTCGGATTTGTTTTTCTCTAACCTGCTACTCCTTGCTGCCGTTAGGCTATGATCTTTCTGTAATCTTCTTAATTTGTCGTTAGTCAATATATATCTCACTTGAAGATCATAAATAGTAATTACAAAGATTATGATGGCCATTTGTCAATATATATGATTGACCGAAACATCAGTACATAGTAATATTTTATAGATACCACGCGTCATTATCTATAATAATTATTGAATTAGAAAAAGGAAAGGGACTCCTAAATTTCAGTTTCAATTCCAACTCTGCAACTCTGAGAAGTTGGACATATGTGGAGGTTAATGGTGAGGTCAATATCAAGTTAGATGGCAATAAATAAGGAACTCCTAATTGTAGATGTCTCTTCATATCTTTATATAAGATCAGAAATTTGATTTCGCATTTTTATAATTTTTTACTAAATTTCATTTTTCTTATCACAGACCAATAAATTCTTGAAGGTAATTGGATTTCCGGTAGACGTAAAATACATCGATCCAACTTACATGATCCATACATGTAGTGCAAGTGCATTGGACGAAACTCTCTGGTCATAATATTGTAAGTCCTCTTCTGCCTACTTCGCAATGCCATTACTTTTCCCTCGAAAGTCATATTTTGAGTGCCCAAGTGTTTTTATTCTTAGTTTATAGTTCGCAAGGAATCTTTAAATAAACAGAAGATGGGACTTTTGGTTGAGAGCTTTGAAAATCGGTAAGGAAGTTCATGCAATTTTGAATTCCTTAAATGACATCCTATTGGAAAATATTTGGCTAGAATGAGCATTGTAATAAATTCTTATTTTGGAAACAAAGTACATTATGAATTTTTTTTGTTAAATTTGTGTCCAGACTATATGATGAACTCTGGCTGAAGGTTGTGGTTTCAAATTTTAAGAACACTGAAAATTCCGATGAGGGTTTTGATAGTATAAAACTCAAGGACCAAAAGATTTTGGAGGAGGTTCAATTTCATCACCTACAACACTATTTTAGGTAATTAGTGTATTATTTAGGTAATAACTTATTGTGTATTATCTAGGTAATAACTTATTATTAGCTTTTTTAATGACTTTTCGGTCCAACTATACTTGCATCCACGCTTTCGGCGCTATATTATTAGCTTGTTTCAATTCTTCAAAATATAGATGTGGATCTAATTATTTTGGATCATTATCGGTCAACTCCTCTACTGTCAGTGTAATCAGTTAATTAAACTAATCTTCAATGAGTCAAGTTTGTTGCATATCTTATTCTCGCTATTGAATACTGCAGCTAGCTAAGGGATACTCTAATACCTATGTCAAACATTCTTCTTGACAATGTTGGTGAGATCAATTCCGACTTTGCCGTTGTTTCTACTTTACGAGGTAATTGATTTTTTTTTTTTTTTTGTTTTTGGAAATAGGATAGTTCACAAAATGACATGGAAGTGTACGAGAATCTTATTGTAGGATAATCAGGTTCAGAATGATTAATGTGTTTTTCCGATCTTTTCGCCATGTGTACATCATGTGCATATATGTTAGATTTGGTTTAATGGTTGAGTAATGAAATCATCCAGGATTTTGTGATATGTATATGTTACCAACTGCTGAGGAAGCAGATTCAGAGCTTGAGAAACATCTCGAAAATATATTAGTGAATGAGGAGAGAGAAAATATCTCACTTTTATGCTTCCATATCAACCCCTATGTCATTTCGGCATGATACCCCTTTTTTTTTTTTTTTTTTTTTTTTAAATGGATATGTGACACAATTATATGGTTAGTTGTGAAGAGATGACACAATCATACGTTTAGTTAACATAACATAATGGCGTTCCTTTGGAAGAATTGCATTTATTTATTTATTTGTTTTGAATATTTCACAATAATAGACTAGACTCGAGCCGGCTGTGTGCGTGCACAGCCGAGAGCCCACTAGTAGATCGATAAATAAAATAAGACATAGGATAGAGAGCAATTGTCATAAAAGTTGAGGCTTTTTGGCTTTTGGGACGAGAATATCTGCATGAGTGTGATTTTGTTCACACGCACACTGAAAGAGTCTGTGCAGTCGTAAGATTATTTCAATACACGCTTGGATGAATGTGCGAATGAATTATGATGCTGCTTTTATTTTAGAAAATTCTATACTCTGAAATTGAATGCAATGAGCCTGATCACATACATATCATTAAAAATGATGTTTTCAAGTGGATTTTATTTTATAAAAGGAAAAAAGACGAGGTCACTAAGTAATTAAAATCACTCTTCTGGAACTTTAAACTGTCTTTGTAGTGTCATTCAATGGAGTACAGGTCAAAAGGTTATGACGTGTGATCATGACGATGCAATAAAGACCCGGATATAGGGCTTTTTGCATAATTTATACGTTTCAGATGATAACCTATAATATTATTATTGGTAAAATGTAGTATCAACTCAAACTTCATTAATATTTATAATTTGCAACATAACGTACGTCTTTACTCTACAGTCATTCATGAAAATTGACTCATATATTATTAGTAAAACTTGTATTATTCGTTCACTAACTATACATTAGTTGCACTTTCGTCATTTAATTGTTTATTTTTTATTTTTGGTACACTAACATTTTTTTTTATAGTAATTTTAGTCCAAATCGACATTCCGTGCTCATTTTTGCTGAAAAAACTGACGTGACACCTAGTCGGATTTGATTTTTGATTCCCAGCGTGATGTAGCACGAGATGTGCCCAAGTGTTTGGACACATGGAACAAAATAATATTAAAAAATAAAAAAAAAATAGAAAATGTTACAAAAATCCACATGTGAAGACACATGGATTAAAATCATTAAACAAAAAACAAAAAGAAAAAAAAAATTGGACAAAGGGATTTGGGATTGAAGGACTCGGTGGGATTTGGGATTAAACAAAAAGAAAAGAAAAAAAAAAAAAATTGGCTGCAGGGTCGTTGAAATGGCCACCGGATTCGGGCCCTGGCGGCGGCGATATACAAGATCGCGTTCTTCGGAGACCTGCCAGAGACCCCGGGCGGGCTGTCCGACGAGGCCGAGGAAATGCTCACTAGGTGTTTGACGAAGGACCCGAGAGAGAGGTGGACGGCGGCTCAGCTCCTCCAGCACCCATTCGTTGATTCCGTTGAGGAGGAGGAGGAGGAGGAGATTGTGTGTCTTGAAATTAGGGAGTTGACAAGAAAATATCTAGTGGATGGATCAAGGGATTTGGGATTCTCTGGAGGACTCCAATTTTCTGAACTCCGGCTGAAATCGAATCGTATTCGAATTATCCCCGACGGACCGGGTTCGGGCTTTGGTCGGAGGTGATTTTCCGGCAAGCTTGGGGTTCGATTCCTAGGCGAGCCCATAAGAGAACTGCCCCGGTGGACTAGAAGTTGGGCCAAATTCCAGTATATCGTAATAACAATCTCCTTCGAAGAGATGATCAGGTCTCTGTTCTTTCTTTCGAAGCGAGCCATTGGAAAGGAATTGATGCACCGAATCTGCTCTTGCAACCTTCCTCGGACTCTGTTCTTCCCCTTCTTTCTATGACCGCAACAGCTTTCTGATGGAAAAGATTCCCCCTTTTCTTTTTCTTTTTTTTTCTTTTTTTTTTTTTTTGTTTTTTGTTAAATGATTTTAATCCACATAGATTTTTTTAACATTTTTTTTTATTTTTTTATATTATTTTGTTCCATGTGTCCAAACACTTGGCTATGTATCATGCCACATCACGCCGGGAATCAAAAATTAAATCCGACTAGGCGCCACGTTAGCTTTTTCGACAAAAATGAGCACTGAAATGTCAATTTGGACTAATATTACTAAAAAAAATATTAATGTACCAAAAGTAAAAAATAAACAATTAAAGGATAAAAGTGCAATTAGGGTATAAATAGTAGACGAATAATGCAATTTTTCCTATATTATTAAGATGCAGGAACTGTTGCAAAAGTATAAATATTCATATAGTAAAGGTTGCAAAGTCCATGTAAGATAGTATTTTTGGCATTAATTCGAAAACTATAACTATTCATCATTTTATGTTTCTTGAAATAGGATATTAGGAGGATTCACTTGAAGAGAAAAAAAAGAAGAAGAAAGATTCTATTATCCTAAACTTTTCATAGTTTCAATTTTCATAACCCAAACCCGTTTTCTCTCTCCCTCTTTTCTCCAATTTCCCCCGTTTCCAAACCCTCGACCCTAATTCATCAGGCTCGGTCAATCGTCGCCCATTGTGGTTTCAACATGTCGTTTGGAAACTGAGTCGTTGCTTTCGACGGGGCGTGTGTGTGTCTCTTTTCTTCAGTGTCTTGAATGCATTTGTTGTCAAAGTATTCGCTGCTATCCTCTATCCTTGGATTCCTCCGGTGTCTTGAATATGTTTCGCACCGGAGTCTTTAGGGTCTTGTGAAGTTGGCTTGCTTTGTCGGACGTTGTTTTCATGTCGTTCTTGGAAAGAAGAAGAGAAAAAATTTTGTAATAGTGTTCACAGATCAAAAATTGACTCCAAGCAAATTGTGGAGCCTCATTCTAGCGCCAAACTGTTTACGAACGAACTCGATCAACGAGCTAAAAGTGTTTAAAAGGGACTTTGTTTTTGATGTTTGATTAATATTAGCATGAATTACATTGGAGAAATTGAACGGATAGGTAACACAAAACGATATAAGGTATTGGAATAATAATTGTCCAAGGCCAATAAGTGAGAGTTTTTATCTCGAGAGTTGTGCTAATTTTTAACCACAATTTTTAGATCTAATATACGAGTATTTAAAGTAACTGTAGCTCGAAAACTGCTCATCGGGCCATACGGTAAGCATTTAATTGATTGGACAAATGCATTTAATGCGTCGTACTACCCTATGAATCTAAGACTCGTAGGCCGACATATCAGCCGACAGAGATGTACTTTCCTATCATTAGGCTGCAAGTGACATTTATTTTATTGCCTTCTTCTCGGCATGTTAGTCCAGTTCAGGTTAAAGTCATTGTTCGAATTTGGCTTTGTTGCCTCTTTCGGCTCGATTCCTTTCTGTCTGATGGCTGATCTGCAAATCGAGCTCGACTCACTAGACAAAAGCTGTCTTGCACTCTTTTGTGGGTCAATTTTTCAACTCGAGAGTCAACAATTGGGTTATCTTGTTATTAATATTTTATCAATCGGAAGTTAGGTATAAACTAACCCTCGTTACAATATGCATAAAATACAAGGGTGATAATGAGGATAATTTAAATAATCACTAGATTATGTGTAGTCTTGTAATTATCAAACCATACCTAATCCTCGATAAAATATGCATAAAATACAGGGGTGATAATGAGGATAATTTAAATAATCACTAGATTATGTGTAGTCTTGTAATTATCAAACCACGCATGCCCATATAGAATGTAATTTTAAATATATTATGTTATATTATATGTTATCAGTCATATTCATGCAATACATTACATGAAATTAAACTGAATCAGTAACAATTAATTTTTTTTTAGGATATATACGTGATAGTATCAGTAAGATCGGTTTATTTTCTGAATCGTCTACAATTTTGTTGCGTCATACGATAGGAAATATACACTTTCCATTTTTTTTTTGCAAATAAAACGGCTGATTAACATATCCCGTTATTTAAGGAGAGTGATTTTTATTTGTTGAGGTAACCGCAACAATTAAATTCCATACATTAGGTAAACTTGCAAATTAATTAATTCACTTGATAGTATTGTAATTAAATAGAAAACGCTGTGTATAGATCAAATTCTCCCATTAAACCATCTCGTGAATTTAGTTTGCTTTTACATTCAGTATTCAAATTCGATAGTTAGTTCATCACTCAGAATTTTAAGCCCAATTTATTGTGGTTCTTTTTTATGCTTGGGACTGAGTACCTTTCACTGCTCGGAGGATTCCACACATGCAACCTAAGTCCATATCATGGCTAGAAGAGTAGTTGAGTAGGTGGTGTGCAAAGTAGGTGGGGAAGAGAGAGTCTTTGCTTGAAACTATTTGTACGATTTGACCAAACACTTACTTAATGAAGGAGTTATGAGAGAGAGTGAGATACTCTCTAGAAAGTTCATTTTTGTTGTTTGTCTTCCGAAAGGTTTATGACTTACATTATTTATCAGTTAAAGCGCTGTCTCTGTACTCGTCCAAATTTCAATTGGTATCAGAGTAGGTTTTCGTTAATATGAAGATCCTGTGGACTGCTAATGGACAACCATGAATCATGATGCTGGTAGATCTATATCGCGACATCCACAACTTGATGGGTTCATTACTCATATTGGAAATCATTGATGACTATAATTTTTTCTACCCTAGGCAAAGGCGCATGGAAAAGCGTTGAAAATATGTGGAAACATCCAATAATGAGAAGAACCCCATAAAAGAAAATGGATGAACCGTTCGAACTAGTACTCAAGCCGCGCGATACATTCGCGGATTTGGAAAGTATGCAATAAGAGGCTAACTTTCGAGCCTTATATGTCATTCTGATGGTTTTTTATTAGACACGACATAAAATGATTGTCCACCGAACTACGACAAAAGATGCATAGCGTGCCTTGGAATGTCCTTGCAGCTCCTACCTCACTCCTATTCGCCGCATTCAGAAGGTACAATGATCCGTGGAAAGGTGGAATCATTGGTAGGTTTCGAGTTCAGAAGCTAAACGGCTAACTCAAGCATAGCTATAAAAGATGGAAAACTAAGGGAAAAACACTCTTTGAGATCGGAAGCCCCGTGAGAAAGGTCAAAAGTTGAGAATCGTCATTAGGAAAGAAAGGTTGTCCTTAGTTAGTATAAGAGATCAGTTCAAAGGATCCAAGCAGTAAAATCCTTTAAGCTTCAACGAATCACTTCAGCCTTTGATTATATAAGGATGAAAAAGGATGAGACAATTTTTTTTTATGTTTTTGTTATTATTTTATATATTTTTTGAGTGATTAAGTTTTGCTCATTTTAGTTTACTTTATGCTTTTTCTAGGTCCAATTAGTCGTTTTTGGTCGTTACGTATTTTTATGTGTTTTGGTGTCTTGTGCATTTTATTTCTCTTTTTATACTTTATTTTGTAGGAAATACTTTATGGAAATATGCTTAATGTTGCCAAAAAATCACCGGAAAACCTGCCAGAAGCACACCGTAAAAGTTGTCAGAAAACTCCTCGAAAAGTTCCCAGCGATCAGTCTGGTCAGCTTCCGGTGGACCCGTATCCCAACACCGAGCGTAACCCTTGCGCACCTAGGCCAGCGCCGCGCACGTGCACCGTTGCCTGTGGACATGCCCCACGCCCCAGTCTCGCACGCGAACACCCGGAGCACACTGCCCATACCCCTACATACACGCGTTGCAGCACAACGCCAGCACACTCGTCCTCGCATGCCCGTGCCCCAGCGCCATGCGTGCACGCTTTGCACCGGTGATGAAGATGTGGCTAGAAGACTAAAGAACGCGTCAAGTCGGGCTAATCATGAGCGCAAACAATTAGCTCGGCGGGTCACGGAGGCTAACACGATGGACCCGGGTGGTGGCACGCAGGACAACGTGCGCGAAAACGACACGCACAGGTGAGCCGCGAACGGGGCGGGGGCATGTGGGCACACGAGTACGTGTGGAGACGCGCGCGAAGATGATCGTCGATTGGAGCCGCGCGAGAATGTCGCGTGCACGCGGACTGAGCACGGCGGTTAGGGTGACTTGACGGCCAAGTTGGGATTTCTTCTAGAAGTTCCAAGGCTTATTTTCCCACATGCTTTATTATTATTCCTAGATTGTTTAGGAGTGCATTAGTTTGGATATTTTAGGATTCTAGTTATTTACTTTTCTTATGATTAGAAGTTTATTTCAATTAGGACTAGGTTAAGTTAATCTCTTTAAATACTCATGTTACTAGGACATTTGATCATCGTTTTTATATCAATAAGAAAATCGAACTTTTGTTCAACTTCTTGCGTTAGATTTCTCTTTGATTTTTAGCATATAACCCTTGTGGCGAAAAGGGCGTTCCACCGCATCGTTCGTCATAAGCACGAGTTTGGCAAGGGTAATCCGTCCGAGCTGTCTCAAACCGACGTCAATGCAAGAAAACCTTCGAGACCTTCACGTCAATCGCCGAAAAAGGATCCATCCGCACGCAACTTCTTGGCGAACCAAGCTATCGACACACGCGATCTTCATCATTGGCGCTTTCATTGAGAGGTGTTGATCGTATGTATTCTTGTTTAATTTTCTTGTGTTTAATTTTGTAGATCCATTCTTTAATTTTTTAGTCTTAAAAAAAAATGGCCAAAGAAACAAAGGAGAAGCTCGGAGATTTGGAGGCTAAGATGACTAGCCTAAGCGAAGGGTTGGAAGCTACTAACACAACCATGACGAACAACATGGCTCATCTCGAGCGGTCATTTCACAACTCGCAACAAAACATGATGGAAGCCATGAACCACCGAATTGAAGAAGTGCTGCATTTTGTTCGACGACCACCATCACGGGGAAAACAAAGGCATGGTCGAGGGAGTACGAGCGCGAGAGGGCTGAGTACGAGGAGAGGGAGGACAATTTCGATCGACGCTCACATGCCTCGACCAACCAGGAGAGACCGCAGATCGAGAAACTGAGGCTGGTACTTTCGACTTTCAGCGGGACGGACCCAGACGCGTGGTTGAACCGAGCCATGCAATATTTCAACCTCAATGAGATCCATTGACCCGACTGGGTAAGGTATGCGGCATATTACCTTGACGGCGACGCGAACGTTTGGTAGCAGTGGCTCTCGAGTGTTTACCAAAATAGGAACGAGCAGATTAAGTGGGAAGACTTCGAAAATGAGCATATCACGAGGTTCGGAACATCAGATTACTACAATTATGACGAGGCTCTGGCACACATCAAATAGTCGGGCAGCCTTCGTGACTACCAACGGGAGTTCAAGCGCATGGCTTGTCGCGTATGCAGGTGGCCCGAGAGTGCGCTTGTTGGGTGTTCGTCGGAGGGCTAAAATTTGATCTTGCCGTAGAGGTTCGACTAGAGAGGCCAACAACGATGCGAGAAGCTATGGAGATGGCACGGAGGAGAGAAGCCGCAACACGAAGGGCCGGGCGCAGTGACGTGCCCTTCACCGAACCACGCCGAGTATCAACCGGAGCACGAACTAAAATGCATAAGCTTCATTTCTGTGATGCATAATCCAAAAATTATCAAGCCATTGAATTCATACACTCTGACCTATGGAGTCTTACCCATTAAGTTCTTTTAAGGTTATAGTTACTATGCCTCCTTTTATTGACTATGCCTCTAGAACACACGGGTTTATATGATAAAAAAAAATCAGACACCAGTCAAGCCTTCATTCAGTTCAAAAATTTTGTTGAAATACATTATCCAAACAAGATCAAGTTTTTTCAAAGTGATGGTTGAGGTGAGTTTACATCCTTAACCAAATTCTTTCATGATTGTGGCATAAAATATCAAATTTCATGCCACTGTGCTCTAGAGCAAAATCGTTTAGCTGAGAGAAAACATAGACACCTGATACAAACCTTTTTCTTGGTAGTTGATTCACATTTACCAACTAAACATTGGATTTAACAAATTGAGTGTATTTCGGCTAAATATAATGTAAGAAAAAATTTGTGTAGCAGAGTATTGTTATCTAGGCTTAGTAATTTCGAAAGATAGTGAAACTTGACGTCACAACTGATTAAACTAGTCGAGTGAAGGCGTAGACGAAACCGTAAACTAGAATTTCCTTTATTTATCGTTTTGGTTTTCTTTTATTTTTTATTTTATTGTTCTTAGTTAGATTAGATTTTATAATTCAATTCTCCACTCTTTATCGCTTTTTATAATTTTAATTAACACGATTAATTCACGATTCGATGTACACTCCTCGTGGATCGATTCTTACTCGTCACTACTACTAGTTAGAAGAAGTTAGTTGATGAAAAATATAATTTCTAATTTTTCGTGTCGCAACATCATTTTATTAGAAATTTCAAAGCACACAAAGCAGTCTTAGCTCTCAACACATCAAATAAAAAACACAAACTCTCAAAACATCAAACCAGTCTATATCATCACCGAACTTCAAATTCTTTGTTCTCTAGTTGTTGTCCTGTTTTATAGGAGGCACATAAACCAAGCTCGTCGATCAACGCATTCAAACCCTCGTACGATGACCCACCCTCCACCACGGCCCTCTTCGCCATCACCCTTAAATCCTTGCCCCGACGCCTCATCTCGTCATCGGTCATTACTTTTTGCACCGCCGCCCTCACCGCCTCCCACCCGATCCCCTCAATCCCCACCCTCTCCCACTTCTAACTCCCTACCGGTACCCCCACCCGAAGCACCTCAGTCAACAGCTTCTCGTTATAAAACTGTTCCGCAAACGCCGGCCACGTCACCATCGGCACCCCCGCTGACACCCCTTCCAAAATCGAGTTCCACCCGCAGTGCGTCACAAACACCCCCACGGCCTCATTCCCCAAAATCGTCAACTGTGGGGACCACCCCCTTATCACGAGCCCTTTTCCCCTCGTCCGCTCCTCAAACCCCTCCGGCAGCGGATCCTCTTTTTCCTCGTGCCTCACCGCCCACACAAAGTCGTGGCCCGACGACTCGAGTCCCGCGGCCATCTCGTGCAGCTATGCCCGTGTGAACGTGACCATGCTCCCGAAGCACACGTACACAACCGAGCCGGGATTCTTCGAGTCGAGCCACGCGAGGCAGTCGTTCTCGTCGATGTCCGACTTTTCCCCCCTCCACGACTTCCCTTTATCCCCTTCGTCATTGCATAGTAGGAGTAGCGGGCCCACGTGCCACGTCTTCATCCCGAGCACATTCTTGTAGTGATTGGCGTAGTCTGGCTCGAGTTCGTAGAAGCTGTTGACGACGACCTCGAAGCTCTCCCTATCCGTCTCCCTCATCCTCTCCTTAATCCTCGAGAACAAACTGTTCTCGTCTTCTGACGGAACCTGGCTCCGAACGAACGTTAGCTCGTGGGGAAGGCCAGGAAGGACAAAAGTGTCCGAGTCGGAAGATAGGCTTTTGTGTGGCTCGTGGCCGCGCATGTGCTCGGAGGCGCAAAGGGCAAAGCAGCCCCAGCATTGGAAAATGAGCCGCGGGATGCCGAGCGTGTTGGTGGGGCCCACCGTCCAGGGGAGGAATACGCCCGAGACGAGGCAGTTGGCGTTGAGGTCGAGGAGGAGGCACTCGAGCGGGTCCCGCAGGAGGGCCGTGGCCTCGAAGAACTTGGCCAAGAGTTCGGGGCTCAAGACCTGGTCGAGACTGAAGATGTTTTTCGGGAGGAGGGAGTTTTCAGGCGGGAAATCGAGGGTCTTACGGCCGATGTCGTGGCCGGAGGAGCGGGCAGGCTCGACGGTCGGGGCAAAAGGAGGGGTGATGATGATGGTAGCTCTTAGTCCACGGGAAGTGAAGAGCTTGGCCAAGTCAAGGGTGGGGATTATTCTGCCGTATGACATGGCTGGGAAAAGGACAATATGCAGTTGTGCCATTCTTCTTGTTTTTTTTCTTTTTTCAAAATTTTGTTTGATGAAATGAAGGTTGAAGCTAAATTGTTTATTTCTTTTTTCTTTTCTCAAAATTTTGTTTGATGAAGCGAAGTTTGAAACTAAACGTGGGGAGTATATATATAGAGATATAGAGTGATGCAGTTTCTTATTAAGAGCCTGATCTTTTCTCATCAAAATGTTACCTTTTACTTTATTTTTTATTTTTATTTTTATTTTTTTTTGGGCTCAACGTCAGTTTTTTTAACATGATATACACAAGGCTAACTAGCCTTAATACAAAGTAAGGGTACAGAGAGAGCCAACAAACAGCCGGCCTACACCAAAACAAAGAGAAAAACTTGGTCCCCAACAAAACATCAACAGCAAAAAATTATAACTATTCCACTAGGCAATGATCAAGAACTGCAACCTGTAGAAATGCTATCACCTCAACTGAAGATAACCAAAAAAATTTAATCACTGTGCTAAGCACTAGCTAAAACCCCGGCTAACTTTCGTTTGCAGATTTTAATGGTAGATGATAAAAACCCTTGGGTCATGTCGTCATCAAAATACTAAACTATAAAAAAATTGTTATATTCCAACAGAAAATTCTACGGTAATATATTTCAATGAAAATTCTAATGAATATTCCAATAGTATTGCTTCCGGTGAAATAATTCCAACGAAAATATTCCGTTGGAATGAGTTTTTCATTGGAAATTTAGATGGATGTTGATGATTCCAACGTCTATTTTTCCAATGATTTTTTACAGTAGGAATTTACATTAGAATATGCAATTTCTGTTGGAATTTTTATTTCCATCCCTATTGGAAAATTTACTGTTAGAATCGTCAAAATCCAACGAAAATTCCAATGGAAAACTCATTCAAACAGAAGATTTTTGTTGAAATTTTCGTCGGAATGATCCATTGAAAAATTCCAACGAAAATATTAACCGAAATATCCATTGGAATTCCGTTTGAATTTCATCATTTTCTTGTAGTGGTAATTTCCTTTTTAAAGATGTTCTGTACAAATTTATTTTTTATTAGTTTTTTCTCTCTTTTTTTTTGTTTACTAGTAAAGTGCACGTGCGATGCACGTGGTGACGAATGTTTTTTGCCGATTAATTTTAGTAAGATAAATTAATTAATTTATTAAACATATGATTGCAGTAAGAAAAAATAAAATGTAGATTAAATAAACTCTTATTTTTTTTTTCAAAAATAATATAATGATGTCGCAATATAAAAAAATTTAAATAATATATTACAACCCCGACAAAAATATATGAAAATGAGTCCATAATAAAAAAAACACTAAATAAGGACCTAATGTATATTATAGATGCATGAGTTCTTTTATTTATTTATGTAGATTCAAGAGTGATTTTCTTTCATTCTAATTTGATGTTCTCATAAGAAACATTTATACTCGTTGTATTCCAATACATCAATAGTATTGTTAATTTTTTCTTAATTAATTTGGTAAAACGTGTGCTTTATTCAACACTTAGATATAACCAACTGTATCATTAGAGTTCTTGATACTTGTGTCATTAAAATTCTTGATATTTTTTTCAATCATTGTATAAAATACTATATTACTCTCTCTCTCTCTCTCTCTCTCTCTCTCTCTATCTCTCTCTCTCTCTCTCTCTCTATCTCTCTCTCTCTCTCTCTCTCCATATAACAAATTGGTACTTACTCCATGGGGTAAGAACGAATTTAATCTCTAAATAAAAATTGATTTTCCAAAATCATGTACTTCTCCGAAGTTGCTAAATTATTTTTTAAAATTATCACACATCACATTAAAATACGTATTCTAAAGTAATTGTACATATGATCAAGCACAATACACAATTAAGATAGAGAAATTGGTACTTACTTCATGGGGTGGAAACGAATTTAATCTCTAAATAAAAGTTAATTTTTCAAAATCATGTACTTCTTCGAAGTCGCTAAATTATTTTTAAAATTATCACACATCACATTAAAATACGTATTCTAAAGTAATTTCACATATGATCGAGCCCAATACACAATTAAGATTGTAAATATTCTATCAAAAGTGAACTTATTCAATCATTCAAAAATAATTTAATCATAATCAAACATTCCCTTTTCAATGTTATTTATTTGGACGATAGATGAACAACATAACCTATTATTTGCAATTTGCATATCATTGAACATTTTGGTTGTTGCAATGATTTTAGAGTTGTTTGTCATAAAACATTTCACATTCGTTTGGATTACTTGCAATATTTATGTGTCTAATAATTTATTTAATGCATTTATTGTCCACTTTTTGTATCATAACTAATGCTTCGAAAATTCAAGATAATGATCATTTCTTGATTCTTCAATAATAACAAAACAAAACAAGACAATGAGACAATATTGAGACGCATATTATCTGTCAAAATATTTTAGATGAGAAGAATTTGAATTCTATTATATTATGATACTCTTAG